TCAGGGATCGGCAATGTTTGGCAGTGGGAGCCGCGATCGGCTGAACGTGCAGAAGTGGCAAGTAAACAAACTGGCCTGGCCCGCCAGGAGGCTTACCCTGGCGGGCCGCATGACAAACATTGCTGATCCTGCAGTAGATGCTGACTACATATCTCACACATTCAGAAGAAAATCATTGTAATGTTTATATTTCATTTTTAATATGTCTCAATAATTTAAAATTGGTTAAAAAAAGGGGAAAAGCCCAGTTAGTGACACCAAAGTACTACATGGAAGACACGGGTTCAATTTTTAACGTGGGATCTTAAAATGGACTGTTCTCCATATCAGCTAATCAGGGCAGAATTCCCATCTCTGATCTGCACTGTGGACACCTGTTAAATATTCTGCCTTTGGTCCACATATGAAGCTCCCACTGCTACCAATGAGAGTTCTGCATACAGCAAAAAGGGTGGAGTGCTCGATCTTGCACCATTGAAATCAATGGGAGTTTTGCTCTTGAATTGTATGGGAGCAGGATCAGACCCAGAATATGCAAAAAGAATGTGCACTGCAGATAAAAGATCCATAGAGGAGATGACAGGGGGAGAACTGTGACCATAGTCTCCAGAGGGAAAAGGCTGATATATATTGTATCACTCTGAAGAACTTCACAGCAGCCAGTTTGGAATAGCAAGAATCTTGGAGAATTGTCTCATCCCTCTGAGCCACAGCATATGCGCAGGGAGGTAACTGCTATTATTACATGGGTAGGAAAAATGGGATAAAAATAGAAGTGAGTCTAAAATCATTAATTGAGTAAAAGCAATGTGGGTGAAATCCTGACCTCTGTTGAAGCCAATAGCAAAAATCCCATTGACTTCAATGGGGCCAGGATTCCTTCCTGTGATTCCATTTGGATATATCTAATATCCTGAGTCACTGTGTCAGAAGTAGGAGAGAAACACCCAGTGAGTATAAGTCCTTAGTCATGGCCAGATCCATGAGGTTATCTCCTTACAGTCAGATGTCTGAGCACCTTTCACAGTCCTGTCCCCCAAGCCAAAAGAGAAAGAATCCTTCTAACACATTGCTTTATATAGTGTTATTGACAAAATTTGTGTGTCCCCATGCATTCATCACTGGTTAAGAAAGATGGCACAGAAGACTAATTATTTACTGCAAGGAATGGGCAACTAGGTTTTTGAAGTAAATTATTGCCATAATTAAAAATCTTTTAAAAATGAATAAAACTGATTCATTTCAGTCAGGACACTGAATACCAAGTTGTATTCTGTATAAACACATAGGTTATGGAATTCTGACTAAAAGCTGGGTGAATAATTCATAATGAATCATTTATTTGACAATCTTCATTTTTTCCCCCTTCTGTTTACAGATTATCCAAAGGCAGATTGTGATTTTCTCAAATTTAATCATTCTGGATAAAATTCACCCCTGTGCATAGGAGCAGAACAAGATTTTATGCTACTTAAGCCTTTAAAATAAGAACATAGGAATCACCAGACTGAATCAGAACCAAGGTCCATCTAGTCCAGTATCCTATCTCTGACAGTAGTCGGAATTAGATGTGTCAGAAGAGACTTACGTTCTGCATAGGTCTCGTGCTAGCTCTCTGCACAGAAGTGAATTTTGCTGTGGCTTGAGCAATTCTTGGTTTGCAACATATTTGTGAGCAGTTCACTGAGTGTATTCCATATTTGAACTGCCAGGATAATCCGTTACATCACATGGCATTGCTTCTGTTTCCTCACTGGATGAACACAACTCTTATAAGTAGGTTTCTTGTGTGAAAATTGAGCATAAAATGTTTATTTTCCAATAATGGTCTAAAAAATGTGATTAACTTACCCTGTTTCTGTCATTAAACTCAGTAGCTAAAATAGTCACAGGATGCCATCCTGAGGGGGAGGGGTGAAACAAATTTGTTTACAAATTCAGACTGTTAAAATGAATTTATTTATAAATACAAGGGATTTTATACCACTGTTGACACAGCTGTACCTCTGACAGATATTTTAAGTATGTTTTTCCAAAATAGATAATTGAAGCTTTCACTATTCCACTTAGTCCCCAGATTCACTCCTCATAATGAAGATAAAGTGTATCCAGCACTAGTATAGCAATGGATAAAAAGCAGATTTAAAAAATGACTATTTCATATTTTCAAACAGATCTCTGAATCTGAGACTGCAAATTGTACATGTGCATCCATACACAGATTGCATGTTATAGATCAGTGATACTCAGACCTCAGTGGTTCAGGAGCCAAATTAGCAATCACAATGACCTAAAAGAGCCACAGTAGTGTGAATTTATTGTTTCATTTACTCTCTCTCTTTCTATATATATATATATAGAGAGAGAGAGAGAGAGAGAGATATCAGGATGCTCTTACTATGTTATTTACTATATATATATATATATATATAGTAAATAACATAGCAAAAGCATCCCGATTGGTTAATAACTTAGACTGATGAATAATTAAATCACACAGTGTTTTGATATCATGTGCTGAAAAAGCCACAGGAGAGACATTAAAGAGCCACTTGCGGCTCGCAAGCCTCAATAGGAGTATCAATGTTCTAGATAAAGCACACATTTTTACCTGTGTTCACATATAGAACTGGATATATGGGACACTCATAACAGTTTAGAAGTCTGTAAAAATATGTTCCTCAAAATGTAACATTCGGGTTTTTTTTAAAGAGGTAATTCCTGAATATCCATATTTGTAGAAAACTCTACTTCATTGTTATCCTGTATTGTGGTAGCAAGCAGAGGTCTCAATCAGCACTGGTGCCCTATTGTGCAACATGTTGTACAAACACATACAAAAGAATGGCGCTTGGCCCGAAGAGCTCCATAACCTGTACTGAATTGTGCTATTGTCTACTTGCTAATTATCATTCAAATTATTTATTTAAAGTATGCAGCAGATACATAGGAATCCCATGTATTCATTACAATGTGAAAACTATATACAAAACATATTGATCTCTTCCTGCCTATGCTACAGTAGTATTTATGGTAGCTGTTGGGTTTTGCTGCTTCCTGCTAAGGCCACAGACACTGAAGCTCTAAGAATGTACCTTCTTCTGGGACTCTCTGCGCATCTTATAGTCTAAACAGGCAGACAGTGCAAGTGCTTTGGGTTCAGGCACATGTTCTTAAAAAAGTGATTTGTTTGACTGACATGTTTTGCTTAGCAATTGGAGACATCTTTATGTAAGAGGAGTCAGATTGGAACTTGAATAAAGTTTTCTTTTTTCCAGAGCTATGAAAGTGATATCATTAATGATATTTGTTAACTGTTGATACTTTGTTTGAGGATGTACAAGACAGAAATAAAGGCATGGAGCAAGATTTTCAGACATAACTAGTGATTTTGGGTGCCCAACTTGAGGAACCTTGAAGGAGCCTGATTTTCAAAAAGTGCTGAGCCTCTACCTATGGAAAATCAGGCCTTTCCACCCAACCTATGAAAATTAGGTCCTTTCAAGGTGTCTCAAGTTGGGCACTCAAAGTCACTTGTCACTTTCCTAAATATTGGCCTCATTTCCTATCAGTGAGAGATTACAATCTGAAACACAAACAAAAACATTGCAGGAGAGACGAGAAGATGGTGACAACTGAGCTCTTGTTATTCAAAGAAAGAAACTGGAATGGTAACAGTGGGTGGGTTTGCACTGTGAAAGAAGAGAGTGTTTGGAGAGACTTCAATGAAAGGCGGTTTACCCTTGGAGTACTGGGTTGGGAGGATGTTCTAGGTGTTGATGGCATCATGGAAGAAAGCACGAAGAAGAGAGTGAGAGAACTAAGGGAGGGATGAGGCTAACATTACTGGTGAAGTAGGATACAATATGAAACAAGAGAAGCGATAGAACTAGGAGAATCTACATTAATTTGACTTCTCTTGTTTTGCCTGTCTGTAGTCATTTTAGCTGTCTTTATGACCTGTTCTAATGTCCATTGAAATGGATGGAAAGGCTGCTATTGATTCAATGGGCTTTGGATCAATCCCTATATGCATTCTGGAAGTAAAAATAGTCTGTGAAAAAATATCTGTCTGTCCACTCATTTCTCTCCCAACAAACAAGTAACCTGCTTGAGATGTCCAGTATTTTCTTGTGCTCTCAGAAGTTGAGGCAACATAAAAGTGACGGGACTTGCCAGCTACAGAAGGCAGGATTAAAACTATACTGCATGCATGCAATATGGTGCAAGTACATCACGAATACACACAACAATGGAAATCAAGTAATGAAAATCCTTTGCTGAAGCCAGAATCATTTAATACAACAGTGACTAGGCAAGCAGGAATTCAAGAGGTAAAAACTCTGAGCTCCAATATGAATCAACCTACCACTATAGGCCAACTAAAAGAGACTTAAGGAGTCGATGTTCTGCCCTGAGTGATTGCTACCTGGTTGCTTTTCACAACAAACAAAGCAATTAATTTTAAATATTGATTTCAATTTAACAAATCTGTATTTATTATTTTGTAAAGACACTGCTGGTTGACCCTACCTCCCACAGTTGCTATGCCATCCCCATGGTATTGAAATACTGCCTGTGGACTGTCAACAGGTAATACTGCTTGAGATGCTGATACACGAGTAGGAAAAGGCAGATTGACAGCAGCCATCATGAATGGGAGAACTTACCAAGGTTTGAAAAGCTATAAATACTAATACAAACCGTGGGGGAAATGAGACAACAGGAGAGCATGAGGGAAGAGAAAATGAATCAAGAAAAAGAATAAATACATATAAGAAAATTGGGAAAATAAACTCTGCTCCCACCGGGGAAATATTTCTTGAGATGTTCATTTTTTTTTAACTGGAAACTGACAACATTGGCATTTTCAATATTTTTGCAATAGATTTGCTGATGTTTCTCTAAGAATACTATAGACGTTCCTTAGGAATTGGTCCCTAAAATCTTAAAAATATTTCCCATCAATAAACTAACTTCTTTATATATTTTTTTCTTACCTGTACAATTTATCATAGTGGGCAGACCTCTGAAGAATATACGATAACAAGCTGTAAAAGAAAAAAAAAGTGTATTAAAATATAATCCATCTCTCACTTCCATAATTCTAATAGTAAATTAATAAACAGCAACAAGAAGCTCCTATCATACAAATTTTGAACAGTAAAAATATACGAACCCTGGTATATCTTAAAATCCATCAAATGCCTTCCTCACTAGAAGTTAGGGCCCTGGATGACTGACAGGATTTATATTTACAACCACTACCACCACCATCCACAACCATTCATGATGTCCTATTGAGAAACTAATGATTGTAGTTACCAGTTGCCATGCTTATTCTTTTTGCTAAAATATATATAGCAGCAGCCCCTTTTATTTAAGTACAAAAAAGGCTCTAGAATAATTTTCCTTCTAACATTCCTAATATTCAGAGATTTTAACGTCTGCTCGAAAATGTAAAACTTAAAATAGTTTGATGCTTTTAGAAATATCGGTTTCTTCGCTCTCTCTCACACACACACGCACATTCTCTCTCTCTATATATATATATATGAAAACACAAGTACAGGTTGCAAAGTCAAGCACTCAAAAGTTAAGCTATGCCTGAAGTAAGGTTGCCCTCTGCAACCTTAAATTGGGCCCCTTATGGATATGTATTATAATACAGTCTTTAATTACATGATCACATGCTATTTTCCCCCACAGGATCCCTGCTCATTTAACGTACAGGATGGACAGTGCTCAATTAACAAGCAACCATTCAATATTTTGTTTTATCCATATTGTTCAATGTGCCACCATAGGCCTTATTTACAGCACACTATTCAAACCCTGAATTTCCTCACGGACTTTTCTTTCAGAATGTGTCACAAACACTATTTATCTTCACAAATCCCCTGTGAGATAAGGGATTGATATTATAGCCATTTTCCAAATGGAGAGCTAAGGCACTGAACGTTGGAGGTCAAAGGTTTCTACCAATTTGAGATGATGGTTGCCAATTGTGGTCGGATGTATTCCTGGAGGTTTCATCACATGACATAATCTCAAATGAAAGATTAATCTTTAATTCCTGGAGACTCCAGGGCAATCCTGGAGGGTTGGCAACTGTATTTGAGACACCTAGGCCCTGCTATACAATTTTTTATTTAGCATTATATAGTACTTTATATATTCAAGCACGGCTCCAACTGACTTCAGTTGCAGTTGTGAATGCTCAGCACTTCTGCAAATCAGGCCCCAGGGTATCAAGTTGGGCACCCAGAAAATGAGGAACACACAGTTAGTGCCCACCTGTGAAAACTTTCATTTAAGTGATTTGTTTAGCACTATACAGGAACTCTCTGGCAGAGGCAGGGATAGAATCCAATTCTCCAGGGTAGCATTCAATTGCCTTAACCACAAGACCTTAATTTTCTCTTCCTGTAATCTCCTGTCTTCTTCACTACGCACCTTCCAACAAATGTAACAAATGAAGCAGGTGTCCTACAGACAACTTCACTGCACAACACTCAGTCAACTCCAGATGAGATCTTATAATAGGAAGCATCGGGCAACCTTGATAATAAGCAGTACTACTAGCCCCGCCAATAATACAGAAAGGGAACTCCTTACAATTATACTTTTGAAGGAAAGGAAACTGGTTTTAGTTATACTGTAGAGTATGTGCAAATGTATTCATACACACACCAGGTTAGGATGCTTAGCATTATTTAAACAAACAAGAAACTGACTGCAGCCATGTGCGCAATTTTGGAATGGACCAATAATCAGCCATGCGGATTTACAGAAACATATTACAAACACAGTTAGATCAACCCATCTAACTTCAGCACCTAAAACGCAAGCTGTTAATGGGACATATTCTCCTTTTCGTTACACCAGTGTAGCTCTAACAAAATCACATGGCACTAACGTAACAGAAGAGATTTTGACCCAATATCTTATTTTTAGAACTGAGAATTGAGTCAAGCAGCCCTTGGGCAGGGACATACTCTTGCCATCTCCTCAGCTTCCTGTCTGAGATATTTTGCAGTTTATCCTTTCCTTTTTCAGCAAGATTAATGATGGCAATTATTTTTTCTGTTCAAAACATAGTCCAAAATCTGGCAATTGAATTTGCACAGGTGGACCCCTGAAGCTTCTCAGATCTTTTTGCAGGTGGAATTGTGTGCCTGCACAGACCCAAAAGCAGGAACACTTGTCACAACTAGCGTAATTTGTTCAAAGAAATCCAAGAGCAGAAACAAATTAAAACCTCAGCAAAGCAACAGTCCAATGAAAGGTCATATATGAGATATGAAGCTCCAAAATGAGAGGAGGTGAAAAAATCACCTACCACTGCCCAAAAATTCAATGATTACTTAAAAAACAATTAATCAATACCCAAAATATGTCTGTGAAAATATACAATCTGAAAGTGTATGCAAGAATATTAGTACAAAATGAGTTAGAATTTAACATGTGCATTTTCATGTTCAATATTCTAATTACCTTTAGGACTTTATTTTTTAAATTCAGGACCAAAGGCATCTGAATTACATTTTAGCCTTAAAAATGTAGTAGAAGTTTCCATTTTAGATGCTTCTTCTTCCCTAATACTTACTGAGACATACAAAAGCATACCAATAAATGGCTAAAAATGCAGAATTAGACCCACAATTATTTATGATGCTCCAGAAATGGGATGGGCACATAGTGACAATTTAAGCAGCCATAAATGTTCTCATCACTGAATTCACATAACTATCGTTACTAGTCTGAGCCTCCACTCTGTGAATATGTTAGTACCTGCCTTTTTCTTTCGTAGTTGTACAAAGTTATATACAAAACTTGATTCTGCTAGCAGTGGGTATTTTGACATTGGTTTCAGTATGAATAGGACCAGGCCTTACATTTCCCCCATTCTTTCCATTACCCTCACTGATATAGCATTGACTCTTTGAGTCTATAAAAAAAATGTTTACTGAAGGTGTTTCAGCAATGCCTCATTTAAATTCTTCTCACAAAAAATGTTTTCAGAACGTGCTATGGGGCATTTAAATCTAAAATCCACAAGATTCTAACCATGTGGGTGAAAGCATATACTGTATCATAAAACCACCAGCTTGTAAGATTATGTAATGGATTTTATGGTTATCCTACTCTCTTGGAAGAGACCTACAGTGTCAACATCATTGCTTAAGCATATATTTACACAAAGATTGTTAATACTCTCATCTAACGTTGCTAATAAAAGCCCCATACACATTCTATCTGGATATCGATATTGAGGGGGCAGGGGAAGGATAACGCAAAAACCATGGAAAAGAAAGATTAATAAGGATTGGATGAATAATAAATCAAAGGTTGCAATATCTTTCTCCTCTAAGAATTCAGAACTTACTTTACAGAATCCCTTTATTTAGGGTTACCATTCGTCCGGATTTACCCGGACATGTCCTCCTTTTTGTGCTAAAAATAGCGTCCAGGGGGAATTTGTCAATCACTCAAAATGTCCGGGATTTCCCCCCTCCCCCGGCAGAGCAGAGCGAGCGGCTGGGAGGGCTGCAGGAAAGTCCCGGGCTGGACTCCGGAGCAGCTGTAGAGGAGCTCCTCCCCCCTCCCTCCCTCCCTGCATTCTGAGCCGGCAGCTCCTCCTCCCCGGCAGCCCCGCGCCCCGCTCCAGCAGCATTGTGTAGGGCCAGGGACCGGGTTGTGTGTTGTGCTGGGGAGCGCAGCCACGTGTCCGGCTCGCACAGAGCCCAACACCCTGTCCTGAGCAGCAGGGTAAGGGGGGCAGGAGAAGGGGCAGGGAGGTTCTGGAGGGGGCAGTCAAGAAACGGGGGGGGGGGGCGAGAGTTCGGGGGGGGGGGGTATTGGGGGGGGCGGAGGGAGGGCAGGGGGCGGAGAGGGCCGGGGGGGGGGGGG